TTTTTGAAAAGAAATCAATAACGTTCGCTCGATTAACAACAGGTTAATGGAATTTTCGTATGGAGAGAAAAATCGATCTTTAGGGTACGTACACGTGGAACGTTGGATATTCACCAAGGGACGAAAAAAATGTGTAGAGAAGATGCGTTCGAAGAGGAAATGTAGGCCGACGACTCGTAGACGTTACTTGGAAAAACATGGAGCTTCCTCAAACACTTAACTCGGGATGTTACGATTGTTTTCAGAGAGACGTGCTACTGTTTGCACAGCCTAATCGAAAAATCATAAGCAGTTCCCTCGTGGCACTCCCTCGTTTCGAGGGGGAAAGGGGTTGTGTTTTTAGCGGGAAAGATTTAGGAGGAACCGATACTCGATTTGCTGCTGTTTGCTCGACGGATGTTTCATAAAATGAATCTTCGAGAAGAACGAGCAATCTTTGGATAAATGTGATTAACTGTGCGTGCAAACAATGATTCTTAATTATTGAGAGCTATGTAAATTTTATAAATGATTCGTTTAAATCGGAATAGAAAATTTTATTCAATAGAAGAAATCTTTTTAATTTTACAAACTGAAAATATATACATATTTTGATGACAAGATAGTATAATTATTTTCCAATGCTTTTATTAAACATCTCTAAAGATAAAATTTATCCAACATTGATGTGAAGATTCATTTTATTTGAAATGATTTAGGATAGTTCGAATTATAACGATTTGTATAATTTGGTTTGATTTGGGTCTAAAATTAGATTAGCAATATCGTGTTTAACAATTGAGATAATTGAAATATTCGACGAACACTTTTCATTTCGTCACGTTACGAGTTCCTTCTGCTTATGATCGATTAGACGTCTGTCCGCTTCGCTATTTTCGGAATCACTGGCAATCTGCCCGTGGTGGGGATAACGTGGCTTCGTATAAACAAACTCGAACTTGTGTATAGTTATCGTTTGTAAACTTTCTTAACCGATGGGGATTCCGATACATTAAACGAATTTAATATATACATTTAATATATACATATACAGAGAAATATATACATTCATACTATCGTCTTACTCATTTGCCTAAAATTTATTTAAATATTTCACACATAAAACACGAGACAGAAATATAAAATAAAAAAATGTTTGTTTCTATAATTTGACTTTTGTTAAATAGTTATAAAATATTTATAAATAATTGATTCATCCAAGAATTTTTCCTCTTTTTTTTCAAAGATCTTTTTTCCTCGACTTTTTTTCAAAGATCAATCGACGAATCCTATCTCGTAATACATTGTTCATAAACGTTGAAATTTCTATGATGCATCAGTGACGATCGAATGAACAATAGATACCGCCAAAAAAATTTCTTTAAAAATATATATCAAACAGATCCAATAACACCACCGGGATATTGGAAAATGAAATGAAACGAAATCCAAACGAATCTAACCGAAGTAACCGAAGTGAGGAATCGAACGAGCGAGGATCGAAAGCAAATTGCAAAGATCCGGTTTGGAAATTTGGTGATCGATGCACCCGTGTGCACAACGCGAAACTGTTTAGCTGTCCGCGAAACCGCAGATTTAGACGGGGGTTAACGAATAGCCAGATGTGATCGATCCCTAATTATCTTGACGTCGACCGGATGCGAGAGAATAAGATAGAAATTCTTGGAGAAAAGACGAAGGACCGAAGTTAATTAATCCTTGTGATTTGGAAATCGCGCCCAAATTCGATTTTCCTTGCCGCGTATATTGCCACGTGGTTTGATGAGAAGAAATTACAATTATAATTTTTCATTTTCTCGAAAGTTTCGTTTCGTAAAAGGAATACGATCGCAATACGAAATACTTGATACTACCTTTTTTCTTGTAAAATCCTGAGGGAGGAATGAATTTGAAATGTAACTCAATGAGTCGGATAAGACGTTCATTAACAAAATTGCACGGATACAAGCAGAGATAAATATTCTTGTTGTTTGAAAAGAAATCATAAAGGATCAATCGAAGAATTGTGAAACACGATACGATCAGATTTGCTCGAATGGAACATTAAATTTATTAGCGAGAATTTAAAAAAAAAAAAAGAAGAAGAAGAAGAAGAAGAAGAAGTAGATGTATAGATGTATTTTTATAGAATTAATGATGTGGCTACTATGTGTACAGCGAAATTAAAATAACGACCGGTATATTTCCGGAGTGGAAATAAGAGAAACACGTTAATGACTTTCTAAAATGTATTCAATGGTTCGACATGCTTTTATAAATGAGATAATCTTTAATGTTCTTTCATGCTTGATTTACTGTCTGACGTTATCTATACATGTGATCTTTCACTGTTTGAGCAATATAAAACGTTGATTAGAGAACGCTGTACACATGAGATCATGTTAAAAAAAAAAAAAAAAAGAATGATTCTATATCGCTTTATACATTCTTTTTTTTTTTTTATCCGTTTTTGAATTGTCTTTCTTTGTTTTAATCCAAGTCCCTTGAAAAGATTAGAACTTTACTTCGTTGAAAAATTATTATATACTATATTTTCTATAAGATGAAAATATTATCGTAAATTTATTATATACTATATTTTCTATAAGATGAAAATATTATCGTAAATTTTAAAATCTAAACTTTCCAATGAAAATTAGAAAGAATCCTTTCACAAATACCGAAGAGAAGAAGAAATAAATCGCCATCGATCAGAAAGCTAATCGCGATGTCCCTCGGTTCGATCAATGGTATATTAATCGTATGCTGATCAATCGTCATTAATGGACATCTGTTACATCAGGTTGATCGTTAACTCAAAGCAGAAGGAAAAGAAAGAGAGCAACAACGAGGCAAGAAGCCACGCTCTCGTTTGATAGATCATTTCGCTGCTTGTCGTTTTATCCATTTACCAACACTAGGCCCATTCTTCCAACACAACCACGCTCCCCCGACACGTATACGTAACACGTCTAATTCATAACCATCAATTACTCGACAGCGTCGCAAAAGATCGATACCGACGAGAGAACTCCTCGAGAACTTCTCGAGGATTCTTAAGCGTTATCAATGGACGCCTCCACTATGATCCTCCACTTCCGCCTTTAATCATTTTTGGATAGAATTTTATTGAATTAAAGGAACGATAATTCGATAATCCCTTGGCCCTTGGTCGATTTCGAAAAATCGATATCCCAATACTTTTCTTTTTTTTTTCTTTTTTTTTTTTTTTTTTTGAAAAAACTAATCGATCGATTTTGTTTCGACGACGGGATATAAAATAATTTTCGGGAAATCGTCGGACACGTCGTTCTTCTCATCGATAAAAACCTCCTCGAATTTCTTCGTGGATTCTTCGTGACGTTTTATTCCACCGCGCTTCGGCCGCGTTGTAACGCGTTTTATCGCGCTCGTTGCGTTCTTTATTGCGCCACTCGGGCCACCGAGGAAATGCAAAACTATTAAACCGGTGTTCCTACCGCGTGGCCACATCTCCGAGGAAATATGCACGCCGCTTAACGACCGATCGTTCAATCCTTCTCTTCCACGGGCTCTCTCTCTCTCTCTTTTCCCCTTCTCGCGTATCGACGTTCGACCGAAAGCAATTTCGTTTAAATTACCGCGTTTCTTGCGCGATAAATTCGATCCAAGAGACAAATGGGAGAGGTTGTCGAAATGTAATCCGTTAGTTGTAAAGGGTCGTCCGAATTAAGGCGGTCAATCGGTAATTAAATTGGAACAAAGAATCATTTCGAACGGTTTATCTTCAACGAAGCTCGAATCGCGGAATCGAATCCAATTTTTCTTGGATTTTTTCTTTTTTTTTTTCTTTTTTTCTTCATTAACTCGAGTTCTATCAAATTTTTAAAATCGAGCCTTCGAACGATAATGAATCTTCGCTTCGTTAATAATGGTAATCCTTACGTATTATATCAATTTTGATCCGTGGAATGGTATCTTGTATTAAAGGAAATCCATCCAATTGGATTTCTAATTTCACGAGGAGAAATCACTAATAATAAAAATAATAATAATAATAGTAATAATAATATCGCGTCCCACGATTAAAATCATAAATTGGAGTTTACATTAAAACAAAGGGAGGTGAAATGATGGTTAAAAGGATTATCGAGATGATCCTATGATATATCTTGGAAAAATAATCGAAGGAATCGTCGATGAAAGGCTAGCAGGAACGGTTACGGAGAGGGGGAGGGCTCGATTATCGCGAGTATGTGGCACATCGTTCTTTTCCAATCGACTAATGCAACCCCGACAAAAGAGAGTTTCGCGGATAATTTTCAGGTTAAGTGGGCCGGAACAGCCCCATTTTTCTGAATGCTTCGACGATCAACCGCGCTACTTGCTCCCGGTTATTGCACCGTTGTCAATATGTCCGCCTGCCTTTTAATTTATCTCGTGGGCGGCAGGGTGGATTAGGAGTTCGATAAAGCGTCTATTTTGAAGATTACGGTTGAAAGGGTTGCTCGAAAGATGGGCAATTTATCTGAGATAATCGACTTGTCCCGTTAAATTTTCAAGGAAAATTTATCGCGAGCGAGGCTTTGATCTTCGTTACGACAAATATCGCTTTCCGATTCTCGATAACATTTCAAGTTTTACCGTCGCTCGAATAGTTTCTCCTTCTCTCTCTCAACGAGCGAATAAAATGCGTGCACAGATTCAAATGTGTGCACATCAAAGAGAAAGAAGGGGATAAAATAGAGTAACAATTCTCATAATTATTCGTAAACTTTTTTTTAAAAGTGCGACCAGATGTTTCTCTGCTAAAAAAAAGAAAAAAGTTTTTCATTCCGGCCACATATCCATTTACACATCCACTTGAAACTAACTAGAAGAGGATCGATCGTGCAAAGATAAAGATAAAGCTACTTTCGAAAATTGGAAAAGACGTGTCAAATCCTTTATCGCAGAAAGCAAAAAAAAAAAAAAAAAATAAAAAAAATAAAAATAAAAAGAAAAAAGAAAAAAGCAAGAAAGGTGAAAATGTAAAGACTCACAGTTTTTCAGCGACGAGAAACGTGACCAGGTCCCCGGGAATCTGCGTGAGGCCACGATGAGAGCAGTCGACCTCCTGTCCGGTACACGTGCACAACCACGGGCATCTGGCACTGTTCATGTCCTCCATCGCACCCGACAAACTTCCGAGGCCGAAGCTACCGAGGGCGGTACCGTGAGAGGCGCCACCGCCCAGCACGGACAATATCAGCAAGAGTCCCCAGGCGCAGACCACGGAACCGCAGCTGACGCCGAGCAAACGCAGCGACCAGGCCGGCGTCATGGCACGCGCCATCGCCAACACCTTCCGGTTAATGTCCTTCACGGCACGATTAGGCCCCTCGAGGATCTTCGCGATGCTCCCAGCGCGGCTCTTCGGCAGAATATTGTTCGGGTCGTAGAGGCTGAAGCAGGCCGCCTCGTTCCCCGCCAGCCGACCGACGTTGATGCCCTGGTAAACGTAACTCGGGGCCGGCTCCAAGAACGAGGAGATCTCCAACCCCTCGCTCGGCGGGCAACCGAGTATCCTCACCGGCTCGAGGATAGGATCCTGTTCCAATCGTATCACGGAACACTCGTACTCGTTCGACGTCAAATCCCGCGTATTCTCAGCCGGGTGTCGCTGTTCCGTCGCTTTTCCCCGTGACCGATCCCTCCTTCGACCATGAACCCGGCACGATCGGTTGGTCGCGGCGGTGGTCGCGGCGGCGGCGGCGGCGGCTGCGGTGCACCTACGCGCGTTCTCCGCGTGATGCCTCCCCGAAATCCCGCCGCTCGACGATCTACCGTGCCTTTGCGCCGAGCACACCCCCCTCCTCTCCAACAGCGCCTCGCCTACGAGCCCGCTCTCGGACGAGCAACCGTTCCTCGCCCGCTTCGAACGGACCACCTCCGGCCCACCGCTCTCCCCCCCTATCAAATGCAGATCCAACGCTGCCGCCTCCTGATCGCGCCACTGGTGGACCAACACGGGCGTCTCGCTCGACGATGCCGCGCCACCGCCTCGATCCTCGACCCTCGACGCCTCGCGGCCTTTCGATCCCCCGACGATTACACCCCGACTCGACTGCTCCGTGTCCACCGTGGCCGGGCCAGCCCCTCGACCGGCATCCGTCGCGCCAACGCCCTCCCCGCACCGCTCGATCCTCTCGCGACGATCCGCGTCACGACGATCCACGCGCGTGCCGATCCGCGAGTCGCCGCGACCAGCACCGGGTACCACCGCCGACGATGGCTGCTCGCGAGCTACACCACCATCCACCGGGCCCTTTTGCAGGGGGCCGTGCTCGTGGCCCCCTCCCCGTTCCACGCGCCCCTCCGACGAGCCGTTTGACACCACTAACGGCACCACCCGTTCCCGCGCATCCTGGATCACCGCTCCCACTGACTTTATCTTGACGATCGTCTTCTCCCTAGTTCCTACCGTACCCACGGTACGCGGGTACGTGGCCCTTGCCTCCGCGGAGACCAGCGGACGCTTCCTCCAACACCCGACGCGGTACGGCCAAACTCATTTACCAGTTTTCTCGCCTCTCCGTCCCCGCTACTCGTCGATCATCGATCCAACCCCTCGTGCACGCGATATATCCTCGATATATCGTCTAGGTAGGTAGCGTGGCGCTTTAAGATTTTTGCCACAGTCGCAGCCTCTTCCTTTTCGCCCCGCTCGAGCTTCCGTTCTTCCCTCTCTTCCGGTCTTGGTTATAATGCCGCTCGTTACGCGGGCATTATACTCGGCGATCGGTCGGTCGATTTGCCAGTCGATTCGTTCACGCGCTCGTCGCGACAGTGATGCATCACCTGAAACAACCAAACTACTTGGTTAGATATATATGTGTACACTATGCTCTATTTCAAACCTGTTTGTCTTTCTTTCCTTCCCTCCCCTTTTTTTTTATTTTCTCCCATCGAGGCCAAATTTTAATAACTCCAGCTCGCACGTGGGACGTGGGTCCCAGCGGATATTTCGAGGCGGAAATATTTCGAACGGCGGAAGTTGGTCGCGAGAGAGACAGGCGCAAACTCGGCCGCGATAGAGCCGCAATTCGGTCGGTCGGATAGCTGTTTTCCGTGCACGCGTGATATATATTCCCCCATCGGCGGAAGTTGCATGCATTCTCCGATTGGGAGGGGAGTGATACGCGATTCAACGCGACAACGGACAATCTCTCTCTCTCTCTCGAAACGGGCACGCGTCACCGAAAAATACATCTTTCATCCCCCTCCCCCTGCGTGGAAACAGATGCCGAGACGAAGAAGGAGAGGAGGGAATGGCGCAGCCAGTTACAAAGAGACAAGAGCTCGCCGTCGCAATATCGGAAGTAGGAGAAAAATATGCTTTCGAAGCACAATCAAGGACTCGAACGCATTCCCATGCACAGCCGTTCCGAGTCGCGAGGCATATATTGGAATCTCTCTTCCACGTTTTTCTCTTCTGAAAACCGTCTCCAGGTTTTCTTTCTCTCCTCTTTTTTCCATCCGGGGAAACGTGGCTCGAAACGCACGTGATGCCCTCATATACATGTTGCTCGCGCTTCCTAAGTGCTTCCTCCCTCCCCTCTCTCTCTAGGATACGTTTTCACGATTTATCACTACACGTGGGAACACGTGGAAATAGAATGTCTGCCGCTGTCCACTAAGCGAAAATAATACGTGGCTCTCGTGTTCCTCCTGTTAAGTTGGCCTGGCAGTTTCTATTAAATGGAAATCGCGGTTTCATCTCGCGAGGAGGAGGGGCGAGAGGGTTCGCGTAGTTGTATCGAAATTTTGTTATTTCATCGTCGTGAACCGTCTTTCGAAAGATTTTAGAAGTATCTTAAGGGTAAAGGTTAATCATTCCGTGCAATTGTATTTTCTTAATGTTATGGTTTAAGATTTTTGCAAGATTTTTGGGATACAAGTTTTCGAGAAACTAATTGTGCGAGGATGAAAACGAAGATTTTTTTTAATACGTATTTAAAAAAAATGATAACACTTGTAATTTCAAAGTATAATTCCAATTCTCAACTTTACAACGATCCACCTGATACACAGAAATCAAAACCGACCAAATTTCTCCATCTAAACGAAACGTTTAACCCCCAAAAAGTTAAGCATCGATCGAAAATACTCCGATGCTAAGAAAAATCGTTCAAAAACTAAAGCAAACACCAGTGACAAAATTATATTTTCCACGAGTTGGAAGCGCGACAAAGCTCGCAGGAATGCGAAAGAAGCCCGCCTCGCGTCCCGCATTGAAATTCGTCGAAAATCTAATATTCTCTGAGAGAGAGAGAGAGAGGAGACAGGGATCGATAATTCGATTAGCAGTAGTCGACACTGAGGATAGTTGGGTAGGACGCGCCTTCTCTCTGTAGATACTCGAGAGCCCACGCTCGAGTACGGTTAAAGTAGCCGGGGCCCTCGATACACCGGGTTCGGGGAGGAGGGAGGAGGTGTGTGCCCACCACGCACGTACATAATATTCTCGAGCGCTCTCCTTCCAGATAATATCGGCAGACCTGGCAGCCTCTCTGATGTTGTCCAAGTTAAGACGAGGGTGGTTCCATTTCGACGGATCGACGAGAGAGGGGGACGAGAGATGGTCTCGTCGTCGAGGAATCCTCGTCGTCCACCCTTTTTCCCTTCCCACCCCGTGGAGGCGTTCGTTTCACGGCCGCTCAGCATTAATTAATAACGTTAGCGCGCATTAATTGAGGCAAAGCGGGGAGGGTGTCGGAAGCGTTCGAAACTTTTTCTTCCCGCTTCCGCCCTCCTCCCTCCCTTTCGGATACGCCGCGCACGGGAGGGTGGAGGAAAATCGATTCCCCTCGAGAGACCTGTGCGTTTCGCGTAGTTTTCGCCATGTAATAATAATTGGGGAAAATTGTCGCGACGCGATAAATAAAATTGGAAACGGAGGAAACGAAATATTTCCTCGCCATTTCCGTCGGCTCGCGTGTCGAACTGGAATAATTGGCGGGGCAAATATTTGGCCTCTCGTAGCACGACTGATTGACACTTCAACCCCGTTCAACCTCGCGTCGATAAACACGTGATTCCATCCACGATTTTCGCCCGCGCTCCGCACCCTGCTCCACACCCCCGGGCCAGCCACTGTTTCTTTATATTTCCGAACGTCGACTGTTTGAAGAGCGCGTTAATGCTTTTAAAATTCTTGGCCAAACAATGGCTCAACGATGAACCCCTTCCCGCACGGGGGAAAAAGGGCAGAAGGGACAATATTGACAGAGATACGTCGTGCCTGCCCCCCCCCCCTCTCCTTCCTCCTGCGACGCGCCTCGAATTTTACGCGCACCTTATTGCGAAACGAGAGTCATAGACATATGCTACACGTCTTTTTTCGAATGAAATCGATCAAACGTGACGACAATGAAAGAGTATTATTACGAAAAATAAATTTTATTCGGTCAATTTTCTAGCTCGAAGCACGAAATCCAGTGTTAATATTATTCCTAGGAAAGTGAGTTAATTCGTCTTCACGAAAAAAAGAAAAAAAGAAAAAATAGAAAGCAAATGAACCGAATAAACTTCATCCCATATAAACCAAGTTCGAAATTCGTAAAACCGATATATTTCCCCGATATATTTCCCCGATATATACATTCGAAACCACGATTTGTTTTACGTTTCGCCGTTCTTCGAACAATAATCAAAGAACAAACTGACACCTCCGATTTCCATCAACGACCCAGATACCGTCGAGATCTCCGTTTACGCTGTTGCAAAGTGTGCCCCCTCCCTAGACGTCTAGACATCATCGATAGCGTTAAAACGAAGATACACAAACGCAAGAGATACACACGAAGCCGTGGAAAGCGTGGAATAGAGAAAACTAATATCGAGACCCTCCCATCGACTTTTCATTTCCAAGAGAACAGGCCAACGTATCGACTGAATTATATTTTTCCTGGCCCCCGTATTCCCCGTGTGCAGGCATGCAACGCGTACACGCAAGGTGGAATCCCTTTGAGAAGAGAAAGTCAGACCGGATTCTGGGGATGGCCAATAGGACGATGGAATATTGCGTCCTTATTGTAATATATTTGTAAGCCACTTCGCGAGACAATTTCATCCGAGGCGGATGTAGACAGGTGAAGGTATTCCTTCGAGGTATATCATTATATTGCGCAACAGGGGTGGGACGATTATTTGTCGAATGCTCGACGAAACAAAGGGAGGGAAAAGGAGTGGCGAGAGAGTGTTCACGGAGAATGGAAATCTTTTCTCTTTCCGTTTCGTTTCGTTTCGTTTCGTTTCTTCGTTTCAACTAATAAACGTTTTCAATTCGCGTCGAAAAAAAGTCTTTCGTTCGACGAAGGAAGAACGAACAGAGGCGAATCGAAGATTACGCTTCCCTTGATGCTGAACTGAAAATTAATAAACGATCGGAATTTCAACCCGTGACGTAATCGCGGTAAATTAGTAATTAAGTCGAGTATTTCCGTGGTGTGCACGTTGCTCGCACGTTCTTGTCTTTGACTGGTTTCGAGAAAAGCGTAGGATTCGTTTCTGATCGATCGACTCGGAGTAGCAGTAAGGGAACAGTTCGCGTATTGATATAGGCAATCGTGTTACGTAAAATTGTCCAAGATATACGATCCTTTTATAACGATGTATATAATATTCTGAAAAATTTTTTTTTTTATATAATATGCTGAAAATTTTTATTAATCCCGTCACAATGATTTAGATATAGAAAGACAAAGAATACGTTTCATCCATCACGATTACTTCAAAAACAAACATTTTCAACAAATTCCTCCCAGTACTCGTCACCTTTTATAACGATGTATATAATATTCGTTGAAAATTTTTATTAATCCCGTCACAATGATTTAGATATAGAAAGACAAAGAATACGTTTCATCCATCACGACGACCACTTCGAAAACATTGCTCAAGATATACGATCCTTTCATAACGATGTATTCGATATAACAAATTACCCCAACTTCTGGACTAATTTAATAATAATATTCGCTGAAAATTTTTATTAATCCCATCACTTGACTTAGATATAGAAAGACAAAGAATACGTTTCATCCATCACGATTACTTCAAAAACAAACGTTTTCAGCAAATTCCTCCCAGTACTCGTCACCTAATTCTCGCAAGATAGCATCCCTCCTCCGTTCGAAGCAGCCAGTAACAGGAGGAAAGCCAGTAACGGAAGCCGCGGCACGCGCTCGTTTCTCCCTCTTCCTCCAAACTTTTCCCGTAACACGTTCTCCCCCTCCCGGTCTCCTCCTACGCGGCAACACACGATGACTTTTTCGTGAAAAATCCTCCGGGCCACGGGTTTGCTTTGGAAGCGGAGATGTTTGGTTAACATGTGTGCCTAATGGGCCGTGCGAAATGGATTTTTAAGGTCCTCCGTTTAAAGACGGTGCCCTTTGGGAGCGTGGTGCGTGCCGTGGCCGATCGAAAATCGATGTCGACGCTCCGCTCGGGGGGAGGGCGATGATCGAAAGTCGATAGGGGCGACGAAACTGTTATAT